CTGGGGGCGAGAGGCGAAAGGGAACATGGAGGAGAAGAAAGAAGGGAAAGGAGGAAGCAGAGAAAGGATGAGAGATGAGAGGGAGGGAGAACTCTGAAGGGCGACGGAGCAACACAATGTTTTCAGAAAAAGAGACACAAAACCCAAGAGAGTCAGTCAAGTACAGGGAAAGATTGAGGAGTCTCGAAAGGTTGTCATGTAAAGGTAAATCACTGTTGTCACACCTTCCCACCTACATGAGCATCTATCTTACAAACATGGCGAGTCAGAGCTGCAAGGGCCTGAGCTCACCTTGACCGGTTCACCCTGCGCTGGGTTGAAGAGTGCTCCTCTCCAGCCCCCACTGAGAGGGCAGGGCGGAACTCCTGGTAACTGGACCCTAGCCCTCACCCAGCCAATCAGGGTCAGCCAAAGCAGTGACATCACCACCCCTATAAAACCCCTTGATCTGTTGAAGCCCAAGCTCTCCCGCCACGCCGCTGTCGGTGTGAGTGGGACAGAGCCCATGCCAGCATGGAACAGGCTTTCTGCTGTTGCATTGGACTCGGCTCCCTGGTGGTCCTTGGGGATCACGAAATCTGGGCATAGCACCACCTAATGCATGACCACCTGAAACGGTGGCAGGCAATGTGAGCAGAGCAAGGACCACGGGCCAGGTCCGGGAGGTCACCAGAGAGAAAAGCCCCAAGTGCCCAGCCAAGAACAACTTGTCGGTGGACCTCCCTCCCTCCCTGGGAGACCTTTCCTCTGCTAGCCTATCCCTGGGTGTGCAGTGTGGACCCCTGACCTTCCCTCCCTGGAGATAACCTCCAGACCTCAGCTGCATTCCCACAGGAAAGCAGCTGAACCAGACAAGTGACACCGAGGCCGACCTCAGGACCAGCTGCATTGTTAATGAGCGCCTGCCCTGGCACTGACCAATCCATCAGCGGAGACCCCGACTCTGAGAGGCACCCCTGGAAAGTTGCTAAATATTCTATTGAGATCTTCCTCCTGGGACCTCCCCGAAAATCTCCATCCCGATCGCCTATTCCTTTGGTATTCCAAAAACAGTTGAATAGCTTCTTTTGAGAGAGGACAACTATTTTTTAACAGTTGAAATCACCATTTCTTTATTTTGAGCAGTGTTTTTTGTTTTTGTTTTTCAAGGCATGCCAAGACCTGCGGGGAATTTTGGACTTAAAACTGTTCATGAAGTGGACCCCTTGACGTGAAATGAGTTAGCCACTCTTCGGGGGTTTCAACTGACATAAAACCCTATGCCTCATACATTAAGCTCTTCGTTATTTTGTCGTTCTTAACCTTTTGTTGGATCATGTCTCTGAAAAACTGATAACAGCTATGGACCTTTTTGCAGAAAACTGTGCGCTTTCACAACTTTTGGCACCTACTCTCAGAGGTTCACCTGCCCCACTCTGTGGACCCTCTTGCTGAGCAACTTTAAGGACCCTCTCCCGACACTTAAAGACTGAGCCAAGCCAGTGGGAGTCTGGCAGAAATCCCCAGGGGACGGTGGAGGCTTCATGAAAGGGACTGGTGGAATCGAGGGCTGAAACGGCCCCTGGGCTGATAGGCTGTCTCTAGCCGTGCCTGGAGGCCACCAGCCCCTCCCTTACCCCAGCGCCTTAGCACCTCCCTCTTTGTCAGCCTTGCTCCTCACCTCACCTTGTCCACCTGGTGCTCTACCTACCCTCAGGTCTTGGATTGGACTCAACCTCCCCTTAGACACTTACTTAGAAGCCCTGTGCCCCCCTTTCCTGTGAATTTCTCCACCACAGCATTTGTCCCACAGCTGCAATTGGCTCTCAGCTAATCTGTATCTACTGTGTGTGTGGTTTGTTCCAGGAGAGAAGGCGCCCCCTGTTTTTTATAATCTTTTCCCCAACAATGTGGAGAAAGCCGGGCATGATGGATACAAACTCGTTGGGCAAAATGATTTCCCAGTACTTACTGTGACCACCGTCATCATCTCAGGAAGCAAGCTGAGCACCAGTTCACCCCTGTCACCTGAAAGGAATCTTCCTGCATAAACAAGCAGGCCCATTAAGGTGTTTACTGCTTTGGGTTTTACAGGGTTTAACAAGCACGAGCGGAGCCACGAGGCTACAAGCCACCTGTTAGCTCGGACCACTTGGCTGGAGACAACAAGCCCATCCCTTGTTGGGGTGGAGATGAACTGTCTAGCTGCTGCCCAAGGCTTCTGTCTCTAAGTTCTCTTAATAAACTCGACTTACTCCCAGAGTCGTCAGCCTCTTTCTTCCCTCTCCAGGCCCCAGGACATTTCCCCAACTAAGTTTCTTGAGTCAAAAAATGAATAACTAACTGGCCGGTTTCATGCAGGATTTCTCAACCTTGGCATTACTGGCGTGTTGGTCTTGCTAAATTTTGTCTCCGGAGACTGTCCTATGCACTGCAGCATCCCTGGCTTTCCGACCCACCAGATGCCACCAGCTCCCCATTCAGGTGTGACAACTAAAAATCTCTCTGGGTGAAGGGAGGCAAAATCACCGAGGTAGAAAAATCAGTTCCAATGAATGCATGTTGTTGACCTTGGAGTCCAACGGCCCATCTCGAGTCTCAGTGAATCAGTTAACACCGATGGGCGCTCAGTATAGGCTCATGAAATGGGTGGCTGACCTCTTAGGGCTCATTGGAGTGGGGAGAAAATTCCACTAGGCCTTTGCTATGGAGCGTTTCAAGCCTTTTAATGACTTGTTACAACGCAAGAACACAAGGGGGCGCTCCAACTACCATGTCCAACTGCGGAGAAAGAAGGCCTTTCAAGGAGCTGGTGACTGGACACTCCTGTTGAGTGATGAGCTTGGACTAAGATGCTTTGCTATGCCCTCCTTCACTAAGACAGTGAACCAGGGTCCTGGACTCAGAGAAATCCTTAGTCATGAAACCTACGATGAAAGATCCCTGCCTGTGTGGTTTCCTTGGTGACACAGACAGTAAGGGTAAATAATTAAAAACCCACTTATGCCCCATAAATAAGTCATAAGCAGCAAGAAGAGAGTCTTCCCAGCTTCCACAGCAATGGCCCTGCTCTGGTAGCAACAACGGACTGATGAATGGTCTGGGGACTCTGGCCAGCTTGTTAGAAATCATCTAATCCTTTGCTTCCGACCGGAGTCCATGGCTCTCAAAACTGGGAAACTGTATAACATTTTTGGGACACAACTTGGTGTGTGGTACAACTTTGTGCCTCTATAGCTCCCATCATATTTTCAAAGGAGTCTAAACCCTGTCAATGTTACGAACCATTCGTTTAATCTCACTTTAAGAGATAAAGAATCGGAAGCTCTGAAGTTCAAGTTTCTGCAGCTGGAACCTAGCAGAACCAGGACGCACCCGGATCTCCCCCTGCCTTCAGGCCCAGGGGGGTGGGGGGAGGAGTGCTCTGACGGGAACCCGGCTTAAGGGGTGGCAAGGTCTGCGGCCTCTGAGGAACATGGATCCCAAGGCTTAGGGGGTGGGAGGGTGCTTTACTGGTACGGTTGCCAGATAAATATTGGATCCTAGTTAAATGCAAATTTCAGGTCAATGAATACTTTTATAGCATAAATATGTAGCAAACATTACATGGGACATATTTATACTCAAATATTCATTTATTTGAAATTCAAATTTAACCGGGCATCCTGGGTTTAGGGAGGTTTTACTGGTTTTTGTTCAATCTGTCAACGCTGGCTGCCAGGACAGCCTCGGAGCCTCCAGTGGACAGCAAACACGGAAGCCCTGGCCAATGGATATTAACGACTCAGTGTTTGAGACGGGCCACCCCCAGCCCTGACTTCAGTGGAGGCACAGAGGTCCTTGGCCTCTGCTGACCGGACCTGCTTGGTTCTCTCTATGACGTCAGCAGGCCTGCGGAGTCTGTGAGCACTACAGCTATCCTTTATGCATACGGCCTCTCAGAAGATGACATTTCACAGGTCTTTGAAGAAGAAAGATCAAATTTATTGAATACAACACCCGCCAGAGTGCCTGCAGCTGTGTCACCGGAGCAGCTGAAGGGAGCGGTCTCGGTTTGGTGTGCTCGCTAGTGAGATTCCACTGGAGAGGGCGGCAGCCTTTCTCCCACTCGCCCACCCAAGGCACCATTGAAAACCTGGTAAGACCTCAGGAGACCATTTCTTTAGCAAGGAATAAATAAAAAAAATTAGTAAGAAAAATATGCATTTCATTCTTCTATTAAAAATAATATTTGCTGTAGGCAACCATCTTCCTGTGGCTCCGCCTTCAGCGTGGGAGAGGAAAAGAAACAGAAAAAAACAGCTTAAGAACATCTGTGCTGTCCAGCTTCGTCTTCTGTTTGGTGCATTGCCTGGGCTGAACCCTGTCTTCAAGTTGACATATCGATGGGGCTGCTTCCAAGCAACGTTGTTTTCCCATTTGTCTCGGGCAAGGTTGCAGAGAGGACAGGGTGCAGCTGTCCGCTCAGTGCTATGCACTTCCAAGGAGCAAGGACTACCCAGAACTACAGGCCTTCGAAGGACCAAAGACAAAGAGAAAAAATAAAACAACAACAACAACAAAAAACTAGCCCCTAAGCCAGGCCATTTGCTAGAAGTGATCCACTACAAAAATAAAAAATTAAAAATAAATCGAACCCCCCAAACAAGCCAGGTTTCTGTGTATGAAGGTACTTGGAACAGTTCTTCATCTCTGTACAAGACAACATATTCAAGTTTCAAAATATTCCAGTGGCCTGCTGACTCCGAACCTCCTGCTGCTGCTCGCCGCTCCCCAGGATGCTCCCACCAGGGGGAGGCGGGCCGTGTGGGGAATCAGCCAGCCCCTCCGTATCGCTTCACGCCCAACATCAATGCAGCGAGACTGCGGGAGGGACTGGCGGCGTGGCCGGAGGAGTTGCTGTGTTCAGTGCGGGCAGGGCAGGTTCGGAAGTAAGTGCACAGAGCTCTTGGAATCGGGAATCGTCTGCTCTTCTTCGAATGTGGAGGTCCTCCGGGGGACGAGGGTCGACTCTCGCAGTCCTAAGTGCCGTCAAGGGAGCCTTCCGTTCTCTGCAGTGACAAGACACAAGGCGAGGATGGTCACACCCTTCAGGACTGAAGACTGGCATGCCAAAACGCAGACAGCGCTTCTCAAAGGAACTCCAAAGCAAGGCTGTCACCCACTGGCACCGCCCACACACATTCCCCCGCGCTCCATGCCTGCCCTGGAGGGCCTGCAGCCTCGACTGCCCACGTACATGCTGCACAGCGGACCACCAGCCAACCCCCTCAAGCACCCACTGTGCACCTTATCCAATGGAGGGATAAGGACACATATGGAATACCTTAATCAATAATAACAACAACAACAATAATAATTAATCTACTCTAAAAAAATGGTTAAGTGGGCCAGGAAGCTCAATTGGTTAGTGCATTGTCCTAGTATGCCAAGGCTGCAGATTCAATCCCTGGTCAGGGCACATACTACAAGAATCAACTAATGAAGGTATAAGTAAGTGAAACAACAAATCAATGTCTCTCTCTCTCTCTCTCTCTCTCTTTCATTTTCTCTCTCCCTCTCTCACTATAAAATCAATCAATAAAATACTTAATGGTTAAAATGATACACTTTATGTCATGTATGTTTTGTAACAATAAAAAAAGGGATTCCATACACCTTCTTGTAGTGCTCTCTAACTGCTTCATATGGTGTTTATGTCACCTGCCCACCCACCAGTGACCAGACCCACATCTTACCCAGGCAGTTCTCTATGCTGAGGAGGCAAGAACCTGAAGGCTTCTCTCCCCCTGTTCCCCTCCCCCCAAACAACACTGACAAACAACACTGCTGTGAACTAGAAGGGAGAAGAGATTCTAACAATCGGTAGGAGTTCAGAGGTGGAGCACAATGAAGGTCTGAGGGGCTTCAGGTGGAAGTCCTAGCCTCCACCTTCTCCTCTGCCAGGAGAGACCCTGCGGGCAGGCCAGGGAGCTGTGCTGGCTCCAGGGGGCTGGAGGCCCGCCAGCCTTGGCAGCTACCCCCGCCATTTCCTCCACCACCAGAGGGTGACCCTGGTGTCCAGTCTTTTTGCAGGGCCCAGACCAAGTCCCTCCCCAGTCACCTCTGCTCTCCTTCTCCGAGGGGAGCCAGCACGTAGGGAACTGCTGTCGGACCAGCCCCGCAGACAGGAAGGGCTAGGCCACCGTTCGCTGTGCCTGGGGATTTTGAAGTAAAGGTGAACACGCTCACATCTAAGGCCTGTGCTTAAATCAGAGGCCAGCCGCCAGCCACGCACAGACAGAGAGAGATGGCCCTGCTTTCTGGCCAAAGGTCATGTTGCTTCTAACACCCTGAGGGGATCTCTACTTCCTGCTTCTAGACTGTGCGCCTTATGGGCATTTCCAACAAGCCAGGTCTGTGCTAGGTGCTCATTTAATTCTTGCAACAACCGGGGGAGGGGGCTTTAAAACTTACAGATGAGGTAACAGAGGCCCTGAGAAATCTGCCCAAGACACATGGCTGATAAGCGGCTAACAAGGAAAAAGTCCAGCTTTCGTGGGGGTCTCTGATCCTAACTCTATGCCTGGCTTTGGTTGAATCCTGTGACTTGCGTAAGAAAGTGCCTTGTCCTTCTGTGATGGGGCATCTCAAGGCCAGGTGAAGCGCCCACATCCACACCCAAACCACCACAGCGTTTGATGAAAAGAACTTCAAAATGGATCATAAACTAGCTTTTAAATGATGGCTGGCATAGGACTTTGCACGTTTCTCATTTAACGCTGAAGAAACTCCTAATGGGTAATTATTGTTTCTGATGTTGTCATCTCCATTTTACAGATCAGAAAGCTTGAGGAAGACAGGATCGCCCAAAGGATGTCTGGAGAACTGGGTCTCACACTCCTGATCCCAACTCCTGAGCAATGCCCACCGCAGCCTCGCTGCCCGCTGGCTCCCAGCGGGGAGGAAGCGAGTTGTAAATAGGAGTTGCCTTTCTTCAGTAAGAAGGCAAGTTCTTTCCAAGATCCCAAGACCCACGCGGGCCCAGATTCCCCCCTTTCCCTTAAGGACTGGGTGTTCTCTTCCACGTTATCTGTCTGCCTCCCTCCGTCACAAATACCATTTATAAACAAGGCGAAAATGGCAGAGGAAAATGAAGTCAGAGTGTGCCATTGAAGCAAGTCAAACAATACTAAATTGGTATTTGGCTGAGTGGCTATCTCATTGTTAAGATATTTCCTCCAATATGTTTTCAGAAGCCCTGGCCATTAAACAACTGGGAATGATTGCCAGGTTTGATTTCAGGAAGGAAATCCCCTCCCATTTCCCTGCTGGGCAATTCAATTAATTTTTCTCCTGCCCCTCACCCACCAGCTGATTATTAGGGCAACCATACCTGCTTCTTTTATAAACAAAACGCTTTCACTTAAAGATTCAAAATTCCTTCCAATGGCTGGGAACCCCTGCTCTCCCGCCAAAAGACCTGAGTATTTTGAAGAGCAGGACCAGCCCTGGGTGGGCTCTGGGGAAAGGGAACTTTCTGTCTGTCCGGGACCTTCGAGCCTCTGTCCAAGAGACCATTTGGATTGAAGATAAATAAGTCCTGCAGGTCCAGCAGCCCTGCCGTGGGTGGACACAGCCGTGTTTACTGCAGCGTTTCCGTATCTGGCTCCCACACTGCCCATGGAACAATGGTCTCACCTTCCACTCTTCCGAGGCCATGATGGCTGGGACGGTGACGTCACTTCTTGGAGGGAGCCTTGTGTCGTGGGCTGGCTTGGGGAGGAGGGAGCCTGGACACTTAAATTCCAGACCTGGCTCTGTATGAGCTAGCTGGGTAACCCTGGGCAAGCTGTTTTGCCAATTTAGGTCTCGGTTTTCTCACCTATCAGTTGGGCTCTCTGCCCTTCCGATGTGATAGTCTCTGATTTCAGCCTGGCTGGCTGGCTCACTAGTTGAATGTTGACCTATGAACCTGGAGGTCATGATCAGAGCACATGCCCGGGTTGTGGGTTCAATCCCTGGTGGGGGGCGTGCAGGAGGCAGCCGATCAATGATTCTCTCTCATCATTGATGTTTCTATCTCTCTCTCTGTCCCTCTCCCTTCCTCTCTGAAATCAATAAAATATATAATTTTAAGTCTCTGATTTCAGAAGTCTGGGTGGGTTTAGGTTAGGAAAAGACATTCATCCATTCCTTTTGTCTTTAAATTGATAGCTTTCCTCCACAATAAGGATGTCAGCGCTTCCTGTCTGTCAAAGGCACAATGACTTCTCTGTTTTATAAGAAGGAAGACTCAGGCAAAGAAAGGAAGCCAGGGGGCCCATTGGAAGGGCTGACTAACTTGCTGCAAGTTCTTCCCAGACCTTAAAGAAACAGTTTAGTGGCAAATTCTTCATCTCTGAAGATGCAAGCTGCACTGCTGTGTGGCTCATAAAAAAAACTGGGAGTAGGAAGACAGGGGAAGATGGGTCTTTGCAACATTTGAACTTGGACTTCTGCAAGCCTTCTTCCCAGGCCTGGACCCTGGATGAGCAAGAAATATGAACTTGGCTTGTTTGGAGCTAAGTGTCTTAGATTCCCAGTTCTCTGGGAGGGGATTTCCAATGTCTCCCTTCATATGTGGGCTGAGATGTAATGATGGAAACAGTGGGAGAGAATATTTGACATCACAACTGGCCCACAAAGCTGGCTGGTCTAATAACCCAATCTCCATGGGCCCAGGGCTCCTGGTCTGAAACAGACGAGGCCAATACATGGATGTAATCAGTGGGAATGCAGAATTTAGGTGAGTCTGGAAATATTTCACTGTTCAGTGGACTATTTTTAAAAATGTATATAAAATGTGTACTTACAGAATATCTGTTTTCCATGAAATCTGTAAAACAAAGGGTAACAGGGAAGTGAGCAATGCAAAGAGAGCATGTTTAGGTCCTCCCACCCCAAACTTCTCAGGGGCTGATCCCAGAAGGGAAAGGGGGAGATGATGCAGAAGATGCCGGACCCACAAGTTTACTGGGTTCCCAGGTTTATGGCTCTTTTGCGCAGACAGCTTCCCCTGGGCCCTGTGGCTCCATGTGCCAAGCATACAACGCCCCTGCCAACTTATTTGACATTTAAATGACATATATATGTTTGTATTGATTTCAGAGAGAGGGAGAGAGAAAAACATTAATTGGCTGCCTCCTGCATGCCCCTTACTGGGGACTGAACCTGCAACTCACGCATGTGCCCTGAATGGAAATCAAACCAGCAACCCCTTGGTGCAGGGGACAACACTCAACCTCAACAAACTGAGCCACACTGGCCAGGGCTCACTTGACATTTTAAACAGTTTTTTTGTTTTTTTTTTTAATTAGTACCACCTATTATTTTAAGAACAAAACTGAAAATCATAGAAAAGTAACAGATAAAAGTATCTCCAGTTCTACTTTTTGAACCCAGTTTATACTTTTCCTCTTTTCTGCCACCAGCAGGCTTCTTTGGGAGTTATAATATAATAATACAGCGCCTGCCATTTCATAGCCTATCTTTTTCACATGACGTGATTTTGTAAACATTTTCTGGCACCTTCTTAAACATTATTGTTAGCCGCTGCATAATCATCATTTGATGGATGTTTATTTACTTATCCGGTTCCTTACTTTAATAATTTAGGTTCTTTCCAAGTTTTTGCTATTTTAATTAAAGAATGCTGCCAATATCTTCTTGGGGAATAAAGCTGTTTTCATATGCCTTACTAGCCTGGCCATTTCCCGGAGTGGAATCAACGGAGCAGAAAGTATAGACATTGCTGACACTCTTGGCGTGTGTGGCCAAGTGCTGATCTGGAGGGCAGGACTGCCACATTCCTGTCCCTGAAGAGACTCGCTTCCACTGTCCAGAGACCACATTGTCTTCTTGCCAGAGTGCATGCTGGGACCAGCTGGCCCTGCCAGGCTTCCGTGATGAAAATGGCCCTGGCCAAATGTCAGGAAGAAGAGAGTAGGGAGTAAGAAGAGAGTAAGAAAAACCCAATGAGACTGGCCAGTGTGCTCAGTGGTTGAGCATTGACCTATGAACCAGGAGGTCATGGTTCGATTCCTGGTCAGAGCACACACCCGGGTTGAGGGCTCAATCCCTGGTGTGGGGCGTGCAGAAGGCAGCTGATCAATGATTCTCATCATTGATGTTTCTCTCTCCCTCACCCTTCCTCTCCCTGAAATCAATTTTTAAAATATATTAAAAGGAAAATCAATGAGAACAGGAGGCTGAATTGTCCCTGACTGCATTAGTTAGAGTTGTTTTCACTACAAGGTAAGAAAGGGGGATGGCCGAAACCGGTGTGGCTCAGTGAATAGAGTGTCAGCCTGCAGACTGAAAGGTCCCAGGTTCAATTCCAGTCAAGGGCATGTACCTTGGTTGTGGGCACATCCCCAGTGAAGGGAGTGCAGGAGGCAACTGATTGATGATTTTCTCTCATCGATGTTTCTAGCTCTCTGTCCCCACTCCCTTCCTCTCTGTAAAAAGTCGATAAAATATATTTTTTTAAAAAGAAAGGGGTATGATTTGCCCCACTAATAGCAGAGTTTCTGAATGGTCAGTGACCCACATGTTGGGGCTGATTCCTTGAGACTGTGGCCATAGACATAAAGACGGAGAAGCCACAGGGACCTCTTGTTACCTGAGGAAGGCCCCGAGAGGAGATGTAGATTCGAATTGGGGGTGGTTGCCATTCTTGATGGCTATGGGGTGAAGGTGGGAAAGCCATAACCCCTCCCCAAGTTCCCAGTCTTCCTGGTGGAAGCTCTCCAAGGGGCCTAGGTTTCTCCCAGCCGCCCAAACTCAAACCTGGTCCCGCCCGAGTCTTGGGCCATCTCAGGGCCCACCTGTACGACCCTTCTGTTTCTTTCTCTGATTTAGAAATATCCTGTTTCCACAAGTCCACTTCCCCCTCCAGCCCTGTCTTATCACCGCTCCATTGTGTGTCCCCTCCAGAAGGAACAGGGCCAGAAGTGCTAAGGGGCCCCTTCAGTCCCAGCCGGGACAGAGGCAGGCGGCAATGGCCAAATGGATGAATCAGCCCGACCGAGAAGCTGAGCCATTGTATAAACTTCCACACATTGAGTGAGGCGGGCAGCACTCCACCCCCACCCCAACTCTGACCTGGGAGGACCCAGAAGACCCCATGCTTCCTGTTCCCTCAAAGCCCCAAAGGCCCCGGAATGAGATGGGTGAGAGGGAAAGCCTTAGTCCATGTTTCCTACAGCAATCTGAACAAAACACTAACTTTTGAGTCTGCTGATATACACAAAGTTTCTGTATACATGTTTCTGTAGTTTTCTTTGTGGTAATAGAGGAACCACAACAAAAATAGAATCTGGAGAGCAGTATCCTCTTCCCTCTCCCTCACCCCTAACAGAGTACATTTTACCCTCTGGAAGTCCAAGCCTGGGCTACTCTGGGCCTCACAGGGTGGGGGTGGTGGGGGACATGCACGGAGGCCCTCTGTTCTATTTTCTGAATGACCAGCTACTCTTGTTTACTGGGTTTCTCCCCCTTAAGAAACATCTGTAAGTCTGAATCCCAGGCAAAGGGAAGCAGAAGGTGGAGGCTGAGTGAGCAGATACTCAGGCTGGAATGCGGGCTCTGTCTGACCCAAAAGGCTTAGGTGAGTGTCCGGAGCGGGACTAGGTATCTTTTCCCAGGCTCTGGAGTCGTCAGATGGGATGTGCCCAAGACACCTCCCAAGGTGGGTGGGCACAGGGCACCTAGAGAGGAAAACCAGCCCTGCTGTTGGAAGATGGCGGGAGGTGAATGCCTCTAAGCCGGGGTTTCTTAACATTGGCACTCTCGGCATCCTGGTCTGGATAAGTCTTTGATTTGAGACTTGCCCTGTGCACTGGGAGGTGTCCAGCAGCATCCCTGGCCTCCACTCATTACATGCTATAGAATCTCCCTCCGTCCAAGCTATGACAACCAAAAATATCTCCAGACATGGCCAAAGGTCGCCTAGATTGAGAACCACTGCTCTAAGCGCTGGAATACTACTCACTCCCTGGAGTTCTTTCACTGGGAAGAACTTGACCATGTTGCTAATTGTAAGAAACCACTTTACCCTTCTGTTTCAAAATCCAGTGTAGACATGAGCTAATGAGTTTTGCTTTGGATGGCCTATGAGACACTTTATAAAGTATTTTCAGAATTAGCTGGAGCCCACATGTGCCGAATCAGAGGTAAACTCTTCTGGCCAGAAATTACAGTTCACACAGTCGTGGCTCAGCCAGGCGGAGGGAGCTGCTGAGAGCCATGGACCGCCAGTTTACAGAGACTCCCTACCCCGCTTTCACTTCCCTAGGAGAACACGGGGGGGTGGGTGGGGGGGAATTAAATCCTCCCTTGGCTTAGCCAGGACCAGACAGAGAAGTGGTGGGTGTGAGGTGGGGTTGACTCCAGGTCACCTGCAACCCAGAGCGCCAGAGGCAGGAACAAGCCCCGGGAAGACACTGCCGTCTAACGCTCACAACTCAGGGGAGTAACCGATGGTCCTGCACAAAGTCCTCGGCCACAGGATGGGGCAGATCGGGGCTGCTTACGGGTTAAGAGAGAGGCACCACACTGTTACCTCAGCTTCTTTCTTTAACCGCTCACCTCTCCAGACCACTATATTACTGCTTCTGCCTAACCATAAACCATAACTAGAGTGGTTGCTGACTCAGATCTGCGAATAAGTGAAAGGGGAACAAGAACTTTGGGAAACCTCAAGTGCTAAGCTTGCAGATGTAGTTATGAGATATTTCAGTATTTTCTCCATTTCCCTAAGAAACAAGATTACAGAGACAGCAAAAGCTCTCAATTTGGTTTCTTTCTGATGTAATTTTTCTAGTTCTGGGCACCCCTCTCCTTCCTTCCCTAACATGTAGCAACAAATAATCCCCCCCCCTTTAATTTAATTCTTTATTATTTAAAGTATTACATATGTAGCCGGGACCAGTTTGGCTCAGTGGATAGAGCATCGGCCTGCGGACTGAAAGATCCTGGGTTCAATTCCGGCAAGGGCATGTACTTTGGTTGTGGACACAACCCCAGTGGGGGGGTGAGCAAGATGCAGCTGATCGATGATTCTCTCTCATCGATGTTTCTAACTCTCTATCCCTTTCTCTTCCTCTCTGTGAAAAATAATAAATAAATAAATAAATAAATAAATAATAAATAAATAAAGTATTACATATGTCTTCTTTTTCCCCCATTGACCTCTCCCTAGTCATTCCCACCTCCCTCATCCCCCAACCCCCCAGCATATGCCCTACTGTCTGTGTCTATGGATTATAGTCATATGCATGCATACAAGTCCTTTGGTTGATCTCTCACTGCACCCTGCACCCACCCCCCAAGACCTTCCCTCTGAGGTTGGATGGTCTGTTCAATGCTTCCATCATCTTACAATTGAAAAGGGGAGAAGATCAAAGACCAAGAGGTTTCCTTGCCATAGACTAAGAGTAATTGCTTGGACAAGATGTCAGATTAACTATATACCAACATATGGTAGGCTCTGAGTGGACAGAATAGCAGACTTTCATGGCCATGGCCATGGCCATGACTCAGTGGGAGACATGGAGTTGGAAGAGATGTCCCCTTCCTCCCCATTTTATTTACTTTATTATTATCATACTTTTTAATCATCACAAGGACTTGTTTGTTTATTTTTAGAGAGAGAGAAAGGGAGAGGGAAGAAGGGAGGGAGAGAGGGAGAGGGAGAGAGTGAGAGAGTAAGAGAGAGAGAGAAAGAGAGAGAGAGATCAATTGCCTACCAATCCATGCCCCGAGCGGGTATCGGGGCATGGATTGGTAGGATATGTGTCCTGACTGGAAATCAAACCTGCAAACTTTTTGGTGTAT